TATGCCTGCTTCCTGAGAGAATGAAAGCAGCCCTGCAGGGTAACGACTCTGTCTTAACGCAGAAATCAAATCAAGTTAAGCTTCCCACAAGCGTGCTCGACACCTCCGACGAAATTCAAAGTGCCGCCCAACCACCATGTCCAAACCAACAGTGGCCCACGGCTGCTACCCCGTGCCTGGGCATGGCACCCAAGAACCGCTTGCTACAACTGACTGAGGAATTTGCAAATGACTGTAGTAGCACCTGGAAGCTCGACGATGGCGAACATCAAGACGAGGATGGCCGGATATGAGAAGGAGGACTCGTCGCGCAAACCAAAGCTTATCGCATCATTCGGGGGCGGCCAAGAGGGGGGCGTCCAAGAGGGAGGGGCGCAAATCATGGCCATCGTTATGTGCGCGGCCCAGGGGGGGGGGGGGGAGGGGACGTAAAGAAATAAGAAGAGGCGCCATGAAATCTGGGGAGACATCATGGCCCCCACCATGATATCCTCCCCCCCGCCTAGTCATCACCCCCCTCTTGGCCGCCCCCGATTATCGATCATTGGGCAATCGTGCCAATCGCGGGCCGGGCAATGCACTCCTCGGACTGAACGCCGCGGGCGCGCGCCGAGCGGGTGCGCGAACAAAAAGCGCGCGTGCTTGCTGCAGCCCCTCTTCTGGAACTGGGCCCGCGTTTTCTCGGAGCTACGCTGCGCGCCCACCCCGCCCTCGAGATCGCGGCTGAGCAGCCCGCCTTCCTCCTCCAACCTCCTCCTCCTCCTCCTTCTCCTCCTCCTCCTCCTCACCCTCATCCTCCTCCGTCTCCTCCTCCTCCTCCTCCTCCTCCTCCTCCTCCTCCTGGTACCCCTCGCGTCCTCCTGCCTTCCTCTTCCAATCTCCTCCCATCTCTGCCGCTGGCCGCTGCGGCTCGCCGTGGTGGCAACACCTGCACTCGGATCCGGGGCTTCTGCAGGGCAGCCCTGGCAACTCTGCGTGCGCACGCTGCGAGTTCGTGCCACGGCGGCTTCGGCGACGGGGATGATGTACGTCTCGGGATGCTGCCCATCGTGGCTACCTGGGCCACCTGCGCCGGTACCCACACTGGGCAACATTCCCAACAGCCTGGGGGGACGGGCGAGGGGGGAGTGGGGACGAGGGAAACTCCCACTTATCTTGTTCGATTCCGCGTCCGCCACCCCCTCCCTCTCCTTATCCTTACTCTCAGGGCAACGCTCATCCCCTCACGCACACGAGAAAACATGGCCGCGCCACTTCCGTTGGATAAGCGGCCACAAGCGATGGTCCGAATTGAGCTGCCCCCACTTGAGTGCCTCGAGAATGCGCAACCGCCTAGCATTGCACCTCATGTCTTCCAATGCTGTCCAACTTCACCCGGCATTCGCACCCAGCAAATCAGCCCCAGGCACCGCTGCCGCTGACATGGTCAAGGCCGGCGGGATGAACTGAGGTCGCAGAAATATGCAGACATACAGAAACCATCATCTGCAAATGAGGCTGAGGTCCACTGGCGATAGCGACGAATGGCGTATGCAAAGGTAAACATACAGAGTGGGTGCAAGCCATACCGGGCGAACAACAATAACCAACTATTTTGCTTCGAGCGATCCCCACCGAAACCTTGGGCGTATGCTATAACATGATGTGTTCTGTCATGGTATGCCGTCTAATCATCTACTATGTTGTGTTGTGGGGTGAGATCTTATGCTGTGTTTTGTGTGAACAATTATGTCATATATATTGTGATGCTATGCCATGATATGGCTTGCAAACGTATGGCGTATTATGCCGCGCTCTGCCATGGTACGCGTTGGCATGGTATGTGATGGTGTGCTGTGATGCTGTGGTATGCTGTGGTGTGTTATGCCATGGTCGATGTCATGATAGTGTGTGATGCCATGACATGGTATGATATACTATGCTATGTGATACATGCTCTGATCAGTCATAACATGCGTTGCCATTCGGTGGACTGCTAGGAAATGCTATGCAATGTTATGTGATACTGCTACATGTTATGATGTGGTATGTCCAGTTATGCGTTGACTGTTCATGGTGTGCTTGCTTTGCCATGTTATGGAGTTACAGGTGCTGTGATGATGTGCTGTGACATGCGCGGCTCTGTGATTGTGTTATGTCACGAGATGGTCTGTCATGATATGGTATGCCATGCTCGTATATGTTCTGTTCGTCGGGAGCGGCCAAGAGGGGGGTGTCCAAGAGGGGGAGGGTGCAACTCATGACCGGCGGCATGTGCGCGGCCCAGCGGGGGGGCCAGGGACGTAATGAAATAAGAAGAGGCGCCATACAATCTGGGGAAATATCATGGCCCCCACCATGATATCCACCCCCCCTAGTCATCACCCCCCTCTTTCCGCCCCCGAGTTCGGTGGTAAAGTGTTATGACCTGTTCTGTGGGGGACCTGGGGATCTGGCGGCCGCGGTGTGCGGAGTGGGCGAGTCGGCACGGGGGGCGGGACCCCCAGGGACTATGGGGAGCCTGGGGATCTAGAGGCCTGGGTATGCAGGGCGGGGGGGGGGCGGGACCACAAGGGCTCCCAATTTCGTGCTTCGCGCTGCGCGAAGCGCGAAATGCGAATAACTTCGCGCTCTCGCGCCGCCTCCCAAGGGAGAAGAGGAGGATGAGGAGGAATCGGAGCCGAACCGCGAAGCGCGAATAACTTCGCGCCCTCGAGGGTGCCCTTGATCTAGCGGCGGGGGTATGCAGGGCGGGGGGGGGCGGGACCACCAGGGCTTACCGGGAACCTCGGGATCTGGCGGCCGCGGTATGCAAGGCGGGCGGGCCGAAGGTCTGTTCTCAAAATCTGACCGCTAGCGAGCTGCGCCACGAGACGCACTCGGATGATTGCCTCCCAAGCGAGGTCGGAGCCGATGTGGCCCGAGGACCGCGCCGCATCGGCGACGTCGGCGGAGCAGAACATCCTGCTTCGAATCGCACCGCATCGCCGATGCATCGGCGACGCGGTGCGATTCGAAGCAGGAGGAGGAGGAGGAGGAGGAGGAGGAGGAAGAGGAGGAGGAGGAGGAGGCGGAGGAGGAGGAGGAGGAGGAGGAGGAGGAGGAGGAGGAGGAGGAGGAGGAGGAGGAGGAGGAGGAGGAGGAGGAGGTGCGATCCTCTGACACCGTCTGCTCTGGCCCTGCCCGGGAGGTCTGGAATCGACGAGCGCACAGGGTGCACCACGGTCCGATGCGGCCGACGCCGGTGCCGAGCCCTGGGCCCGGGGCTCCCGTCCTCCGAGCGGGTCGCGGGCATCAGGGGGGCAAACGAACCTACCTCGCTTTTGGCCACCCTCGCGTCCAAGAGATACCAGGCGATGCCAAACTACGGCATGTGCTGGTCAGGCCGCTCGACGAGGAGGCGTATGGTATGACTTGGTCTTGCCTGGAAGCGAAAGCGGGGTAGGTAATTCACGTTCTGAGGCATGGCGGGAGTGAAATCTCCAGCGGAGTCGGGGGGACTCGTCCTTTCTCCTCCTGAGTACAGTCGCACCAGGGCCAGAAGAGCGTCCTTGAAGGGCAAGGAAAACCTTCCGTCGGCCAACACAAACACAGACCATCCAAGGGTTACCCTCCCCAGGGTGCACAAAAACATCCAACAAACACGAAGAGCACTAGGGTACCCTACCAGAACCGGCCACGATCGTATGCCTCGGTCTGGCTGTAGCACAGCTCATCGTTGTGTCGCCGCCGATCTCAGCGCCACCCTGATGGATGGATGCTCCGTCAGCGGGGGCCTCTGGCCGATGCCGGGCGAGCGCGCCTTTTTTGTCACTCTTCAACGCTATGTCGCGCGTCCGTGGCGCTCTCCTGCCAAGCTTTGTTGCCAGCTCCCTGCGCGCTGCCGCAACACCCAACACTGGGTGCCCGTCTCGGTGGCGCCAGCATGCGTGCTGGCTGGGTAGGCTAGGCGTGTCGCGTGAGCCCTGCTCGCAGCCAGCGCTCTACCAATCCCACCAGCCCTCTGGGCGCAGGTGGTTTAGGGCGTTTCCTCTTCCACCCCTCGCTCTTCCCTTCGGGGACGGGTTCATCACGGCTCCTGATGAATATACACCCCCTCCCCCAGGCGACTGGGGGCCAACCAGGCACCATGCCGACACCATGACCACCCGCCCCCCACCATCCCTTTCCAAAAACAGTGCAAAGCGCACTCTGCCTCCACATTTGGAGCATGCGCGGCCAACCCGATGCGCCCCCCCCCTTCCCTGTCAACAATCGATGCAAAGTACACATTGGGGCAAAGTCTTGAATCATGTTCGTGGGGCAAAGTCTTGACTCGTGTTCGTGGGGCTCATTGACAAGGACGGCGGTGGTGTCAGCAGCTTCCCTGCTGTGCGCAGGGCTACCACCCCTACAATACAACATGCCCCTCGCGGCAAATCTGGATCATGCGCGGCCATCCCGCGATCATGGTCAAGTGGTTTTTGACAGGGACGGCGGGGGTGGTGGCGCGTGGTCTGCTGTGCGCAGGCCCAGCAAACACAATTATGGGCATCGGTGTTCGACAAGGATGGCGGGGGCCGACATGTTTCCCGATGTGTGCTGTCACGTGCACAGGCGCACCTGACGCACTCTGCACGTGCCCAACGCGGCGCACCTGGCGCGGCTGGAGTGCGCGGCGCACCTGGCGCGGCTGGAGTGCGCGGCACACCTGGCGCAGGCGTGCCCAGCACGCTCGGGTTCCAAGGGGTGCCTGGCGCGCGTGGCGCCCCTGGAACGCGTGGCGCACCTCGCCCAAACGTCGCGCACCTGGGGTCGGCTTTGGTTCCCAGCAGCTGCCCATCCGAAGACGACCGCTGAACATGCTCAGGCTCGGGTGTTACTCATGTGTCGGGAGGGCGGGTGGGAGTGAGCTCGACGGCTTGCGGGCGGGTGGGTGTCTGGATCGCTGTTCCCTATCAAAAAACACCCCCTCCCTCACCTGGCCAGCAGCCAACCCGGAACCATGCGGGCACCCCCCAACCATCCCTGTCAAAGCACAATACAAAATGCACATTGCGGGACCCACCCTGTCAACACCCTCCACAATCCTTTCCAAAAAACAATACGGGGTGCACATTGCAACAAAATCTGGACAGTGCATTGGCGCTCTCTGAGCAGGTTGTTTTGTTTTTGTGGCAAGGATGGCGGGGAACCCTTAGTGAAGCCGCTTTGTGCAGGACCACCATCCATGTCAGAAACAATGCGAAGTGCAAGTTGCGACAACGTCGTGGGTACTGTGCTGGCCACCCGCGATCACTTTGGATTATTTTTTGACAGGGACGGCGGTGCTGCCCGCATGATGATGCTTGCTGTGCGCAGGCCCAGAACAATGCTGACGTCCCCCACATCAGCATTTGGACCATGCGGACGGGGGGGCGTCACGTCTTCTATAAGGATGGCACACCAACAACATGTGGAGCCCGCGGCGAGCGTCGCGCACCTGGCGTCCGCTTTGGCTCCCAGTGGCTGTCCATCCAGTGGCGACCCCTGGCGATGCCGAGACTCGGATGCCACTTATGTGGTGGGAGTGCGGGTGGGAGCTTTGTGGGCCCCGGCAACGGCAGGGCCGTTTTTTGACCGTTTCAAAAAAAATGTCCCTTGAAAATGGAAACGGCAATAAAAACGGCGACCGGAAACGGCAAAACAACGGCTCCAGGATCGGAACTGGAGCCGGAACCGGTCAAACAACGGCGACGGAACCGGTAAATAAAACGCGTCGGAACCGGCAAAAAAACGGCAAAACGGAACCGGTAAAAAAACGGCCCTGTCGTTTCCAGGGCCCACTAAGGGTGGGAGTGAGCTGGACGGCTTGTGTGCGGAGAGGGTGTCTTGAACCCTCCCCCATACCCCCTCCCCTGGACCTGGACGGGGCGGGTGGCTGGTAGTTCGGGCGCCCAACACGGCCTCGGCGAGGACGCCAGCATCATTGGTGCTACTAGGGTGTTGGCCCCATGTTGGCTTCTTGGGGTGGGGGACGCCAATTGAGTCCCCCCTCTTGTTTGATCGATCTCCTCCCAAATGGCCTCAAGACGCGCCCAAGAGGCCCCAATGTGTCCCAAGATGGCCCCAAGAGGCCCCCAAGAAGTCCCCAGGAGGCCCCCAAGAGGACCCCAAGCGGCCCCTAAGAGCCCCCCCCCCCCGAGGCACCCAAGACGCCGAAGAGCCCACCAGGACCGCCAAGAGACCCCCAAGACGTCCCAGGAGGCCACCAAAAAGCGCCCAACAAATACCTCAAAAGGCTCAGAGAGGCATCTCATAGACCTCTGGCCCTTTTGCTTGCCCTCCTCCTCCTGCTCCTCCTTCCTCCTCATACTCCTTATCTTCCTCCTCCTCCTCCTCCTCGTCATCTTTTTCATGCTCCTTCTCCCCACTCCCTCATCCATCCATCCAACCTCCTCCTTCTCCTCCTCCCTCCTTCGCACGGTTCGGCCGTCCCCCTCTTTGCTACCGCACTTCCCTGATCACCTCAACTCGCCTGGACACCGTCTCTGGATGGGCTGGTGGGGATGCGCAAAACGTTTAGAATTGAACTTGCACACTTACTTTTTCTGTTGAAGGCAACCCGTTTCTGCAGCCACCCGCTCTACTGGGACTTCCGGAATTTGTTCGAATCTCAACTTCAGATGTGTATAAATACATCGATCAGAACGTTCGCCCGCGAGGACCCAAACAATGTGTTTCTACCACAATAAGCGATGCCATCGCATGTGCGGTACAACTGTTGCAGTCTAGTTTGTGCAAACTATGCTGTGCAATCTAGGTGGGACAATAAATGAGGTGCAATGTGTATATATATATATAGATAGATACATTCACATATATAGATACACATATATACATATATACATTAGAACCACGCGCGTGTTTCGCGCGCTTAGGTTCTAGTCAGCTCCAGGCCTTGACAGGGTCACATATCCTCTGACGTGCTTACCCACACATGGTTTGAGCATGGGGGATCATGCATCAATAACGCGGGCAGAGTAAATACGGATTGCCGACAAGGACATTGGCAGAATATTCAATGCGAAGCTATGCACACCAGTGAAAGCAATGGGGTGACCAAAACGGCAGCCTAGTGCAACGCATCGCCATCGAATCAAACCAGATGCGGGTCCAATGCGGCTAGAAACATCCCATGCACACGTTAGCAAAACAAATGCACAGCAATGCAATGCAATGCACATCACAGCAAAGTAGAGGAATGCTCCCCAATGCAATGTGGATCACGGAGCGATGCAATTGCACAAGAGAACAACCCAACGGAATACAATGCAATACAACACACAACAATGCAACATACGGAACATGATTCTGGGAACTCAGAGATCCCAGGGACGAGCCACCCTAGAAAAAGCCCAGGAACACCCAATGGGAGCACAAAACAAGGCCAAAGGGGTTCCTCGAGAGAGGCTCCAAGGGGAGCCCAAGCGTGGCCCAAGGAGCTCCAAGCAGGCTCCAAAACAGGGCACATGAGAGCCCCAAGAGGCGTCCCAAGAAAGCCAGAAGATGGTGTCAGAAAGAGATGGCCCACGGAAGCGTCCCCTCAACCGTAAAAGCAAGCCGCGAGGGCTCACGAGCAGCCCCAAAGTGGCGTCAAAGGTGCCGCAGGGGGATCCCGAAGTGGGCTCCAAGAAGCCGCTTGTTGGCCTGGCAGGGGTGGAGCCTGGCGCGTGCGGCACCACTCTCGCACCGAAACGCCCGCGGCCAAACGGAAGCCACGGTGTCCTCCTCCTCGAGGCGCACGAGTCCCAGCCCGCGCGCTGGGCCCCCCGCGTCGCTGCTGCCGAGCATCGGCGGCATCGTGGCCATCTCCCAGAGGGAAGGGGGTCGTCGTCGTCGTCGTCGTCGTCGTCGTCGTCGTCGTCCTCCAACTCCTCCTCCTCGTCATCGTCGTCCTCGTCGTCGTCGTCGTGATCGTCGTCGTCGTCGTCCTCGTCGTCGTCCTCGTCGTCGTCGTCGTCCTCGTGATCGTCGTCCTCGTCGTCGTCGTCGTCGTCGCCGTCCTCGTCCTCGTCGTCGTCGTCGTCCTCGCCCTCGTCGTAGTCGTCGTCCTCGTCTCGTCGTCCTCGTCGTCGTCGTCGTCGTCGTCCTCGTCGTCCTCGTCGTCGTCGTCGTCTTCCTCGTCGTCCTCGTCGTCGTCGCCGTCCTCGTCCTCGTCCTCGTCGTCGTCCTCGTCGTCGTCCTCGTCGTCGTCCTCGTGATCGTCGTCCTCGTCGTCGTCGTCGTCGTCGTCGTCGTCGTCGTCGTCGTCCTCGCCGTCGTCGTCCTCGTCGTCGTCGTCGTCTTCCTCGTCGTCGTCGTCCTCGTCCCTGAGACATGCTTGGCGGCTTGCTCCCGCCCCTGCGAGGTCTCCGCGGGCCCCTTCGCTGGCGCCCCAGTCGGCCTTCCGTCGCCCGTCGGGCCTCCTCTGGCCCTCGCCTCTCTCGTTGCTTTCCCGGGCCCCTTCGGTGGTCGGCCCCCCTCTCTTTGTCGATTGCCTCGCGAGGGCTACAATCGGGGCGTTGACCTAAGGAACCCTAAACAAGGAACGAGGCCCCTTTCTTCCATAAGATAGCCTTCGATTTCCGGTCGAAACCATAAGGAAAGCCTGAGGCAAGCTGTGAAACACTTAAGGAACGCGGAGCCCCTCCCCAACGAAAAGGGTTCCTTTTTCAGGGCCCCGACTGTACAGTGAAAATGTATAGCAAGGACAGGTGATAACGGCGCAAGACCCTTGGAGACCGAAGTTGGGACGTTTTTGGGCGGCGGGCGACCAACCCCCCAGTGGAAACGGCAAAGGAGGGACCGCAGAGGCATGGACGCAAGGGTACCCTAGAAAAGGCGCGCGTCCTCACTATGCGCGTTGACTGTAGGGCTTGGCGCTGACCCAAGTGCAAATAATGTCCTTTCCCTCTCTTCTGGCAGAAAAAAATTCGCTCTTCATGGCGACCAAGAGAAACCGGCGGCACGTCGCAATCGGAATGTCGAAATGCCGATCCCACGTAAGCGAGTGGCTGGACAACTCAATCTGGCTGACCTGCGTCGAGGTTGCAGTCGTGATGCCGCGCGGCGCCGCGCATTACACATCAAACTGTCTTGCGCTTCCTGATGTGCATGCGCCTGCGGTTGTACGGGCAGAAATCCGCCAGAGACTTCCCCTAGCACGTTGAGGCGCGGTGGAATACCCAGGGCCGCCTGGTATCAGGTCGGGCATGTCCTCCTACAGGCGGATTTGGACGACAAACTGAAAATTGTCTAGCAAATAAGCAAACATAGTTAACAACTAAAAGAAACATCGTTCCGAGACTATTGAGTACCATTTTTAAATATTCCTCCTGTAGAGCGACATGCCCGACTGAATGATAGAATGCCACGGGCCGTCTGGTAGGGTTTCTGCACGCTTCTGATGGGCCCCCGTCTTCTCGACGCTCTCGGCCGCGAACCCTCTTGCAGCGACCGTGCAAGAGGCGTCGGCGAAGCCGAGACCTGGCAAACTCGAGCCTTACGCTTCCCCAAAACGGAAGGGGCCCAGGGACACACACACACACACAAAAATAGATCGACACACGCCCCAGAATTCCCCACCTTTCCCTAGATGTCCTGGGCTGTGATCTTCCCCGCCTCTTCCCACACCTTCCGATCTTTCTCCTGGGGTCGACGGTTTGGACGCCCGAAACAGGTACGGAAAGAATGGGTACAATACCCAACAACAAATGTTGTCCCAAACCAACAGCGGCCGCTGTTGGGCAGGCGGCCTTCTGTCTCGAATGAACACAGGCCGCGGCGGCGTGGACAGCGAATCCTGTTCAAAATGAACAGGAACTGCTGTTGGGCATCGTACCCATTCTTTCCGTGCCCATTTCGGGCGTCCAGAGACGGTGACTTGTGCCTGCGTGTTCTCTCCCTCCCGACCCGGGAGCCGGCGAAGACCTGCTTCCCCGAACTCCGACGATATGCGGTGTTGGCTCCAGCGCCCTGCCCCAAGGAGGCCCCGGCCCGGCCCCACGAAGGTCGCAGCTTCCCGTTGTCTCCGATGGCTTCGGCGGTGGACACGCCTCTCTTTGGCAAACCTCCCCTTAGTGAACACGGCCTGGGACCGAAACCGACGGCCTTGGGCCCGCAAAACTGACGGCCGCGACGCCCCCTCGCGAAGCGAAAACGGCCAATTCCTTAATCGACGTGTCAGGGTAGGAAGTCTGTCCACCCCCGATAGTTCTGGGGCCCGACTCACGGGCCCCAGAGGCCAGAGGCCGATCTCGAGGAGAAACGCCGAATCCTCGTCGACACCCGCCCTCCGCGTCTTCGGTAGCCCCTAGAAAGTAAAAAGCAAGGGAGGAGAGGGAGAATGGTAAGGGAAGGGACAACGGGGAGGGAGGAGTTCCGGGAACTCCGCCATGAAGTAGTCATACAACACACTCTGCTCAGCATTTGGAAAACAAGCCGCGAACAATTATATCAAGATGTTCGTGCCTGGCCTTCAATATTGTACCTGGCTTACATGGCTCTGCAAGGCCCCTGAGCTGATCTTGACCACAGGTGCCCCAGTACCACAATTGAAGGTCTTTCTGATATATGAAGGCATGAGAGGGATGGGTCCAACGACCAGCCATGTGTAAACGCCGCCCCTGGGGAACTCGGGCTAATTGGCAATTAAAGTGCAGAGTGGGAAGCACTCACTTTTGACCACCCAGACAATGCCACAATCGTCGAGGAGCCTCTACACACGCTAAACGCCCTCCCACTTTCGGTCAGGGTGTGCTGGGACGCGAAGCGTGCAACAGCTATTGGAGGGGGAGGAGGCGGAGGCGGAGGTCCAGCAGGGGCCTTGGTCTTACCCTCTCCAATCAACTGGGAAGCCCGAGTTGAGCCAAGTGCAACTCGCAGCAGCCTTCTTCGCACAGTCCGAGCTTTCTGCTCAATCAGCAAGACATGGTGACGACTGGCCTGGGGAACTCGCGCGCGCGGCAGCCTCTCCAGCAAGGTCGTCAACACAAGCATTGCCTAGCACAGGCCAGGACGGGGTACTACGAGCCAAGGCTTCGATCCATTTAAATGAGATGGGACCTGCAAGACTACGATGCTAGATGGGTGCCTGCCTTGAGCTAGCAGAAGCCTACCTATCTGGCGCCAGATGTCTGCCTGGGGGACCTCGGGCCGCCGAAACAATTCAGCATACCACCCCCCAAGCGACTCATGGTAGAAACATCGTCCCCCAGACTATGTCTTGACTATTTCTACAGCTTCCTCCTGCACAGGGACTTGCCCGACTTTTGAGGTCAGGAGCAGGAAACCCAGCGGCAGAACCAGGCGGGCGGGCCGTCGGGGGCGGCCAAGAGGGGGGCGTCCAAGAGGAGGGGGCGCAAATCATGACCGGCGGCACGTGCGCGGCCCAGGGGGGGAGGGGGGGGGGCCAGGGATGCAATGACATAAAAAGAGGAGCCATGAAATATGGGGCCATATCATGGCCCCCGCCATGATATCCCCCCCCCCCCAGTCATCACCCCCCTCTTTGCCGCCCCCGATCCCTGGCCAGGAGGAGGGGAGAGGAGGAGGAGGAGGAGGAGGAGGAGGGGAGGAGGAGGAGGAGGAGGAGGAGGAGGAGGAGGAGGAGGAGGAGGAGGAGGAGGAGGGGGAGGGGGAGTGGGAGGAGGAGGAGGAGGAGGAGCCCCCCCTAGTCATCGCCCCCCTCTGTGCCGCCCCCGAAGAACCAGGCGGGCGGTCCGGGCGGGCGGACCCCCACGGTCGGGTCGACTGCCAGGACCGAAACATGTACCCTCGTCGGAGGCCTGGCCCTGCCGTCGGGGATCTCCTGGCCGGGGTCAATCCGAGCCCGGGGCCGCAGGACACCCCGTCTCGAGGCTCCCGAGGCTCGTCGGAAGCCTGGCCCCGCCGGCCACCACCGCGGCCGCCGGCGCCCGCTCGGGAGGACCCCGGCGGCCCGGCGAGAGCTCTCCCTCTCTCGGAGGCGCGGCTGCCGGGGAGCATCCTCCCGTGGCGAGCACACCCGCAGGAAGCGATCAGTACCTCGGCGGACGCACGACAGAACCGGCCACAGCATGAGGGACCGAATCTGGAGAGAAAACAAGAACACACAGACACAATCCATCGCCGGTTCCCCCCAGGAAACATGGGAAGCAGACCAGCTGGACCGCGCGCACGGCCCCCCCCTGCGGCGGCAGCTGGCAGTGGCCTCGCGTACAGAGCGCCTGCGCTTACGCACACTCGCCATACTTGCAGAACGTTGGCATGTAAATTTTCGGTGGCAACTCATGGGAGCCTCCGATACAATCTTGTCGGCTCTTGCGATTCGACGCTAATCGACGCTAAAATCCACGCTAAATCGAGGCTAGATCGACGCTAATCGAGGCTAAATCGGCGCTATCTCCTCGACTCCAGATGCTAATTGACGCTAGTCGACGCTAAAGACATACTTAAAAGGGTTATACCAGGCCCCCATGACTTGCCACCTAGAAAAAACCACTGTTGTGGGGGCTGGGGTCGGTTTCCCACTGTTCCTTCCGAACGTGCGCAGAAGCTTCCTCTCGCTGGCGGCCTGGGAACGCATACAGTCGGGGCCTTGACCTAAGGAACCCAAAATAAGGAACGAGGCCCCTTTCTTCCATAAATTAAACTTCGATTTCCGATCGAAAACATAAGGAAAACCTGAGGCAAGCTGCGAAACACTTAAGGAACGCGGAGCCCCTCCCCAACGGACAGGGTTCCTTCTTCAGGGCCCCGACTGTACGTTTCTGTTTTTTTTGTGGGGCTCCAGTCGGGGATCCACCACAATGCGGCGACAGGCCGTCCGAAGACGTCGACATCCGCGGAGACCTCACCGCACGGCTTTGGGACGCTGGGGGGCCCCAATCGCCCGACACGTTCTCGGGAAACGACCCAGATCCCCAAACCGTGTAGCCCCCCCTGGCTCACCACACCGTATGCTCACCGCACCGTTCCCGGAGATACGAGGCTGCGAGCAGATCGCACCATCGTGATAGATCGCAGCAGGAGCACGGGACTGCATCTTTCTGCGGCATTCCGCACTCTTCGATCCGGACCGACGTGCACTGGCACCAGGCTCGAGAGCGGGCGAAAGCGCCAGGCGTGGGTGACAATTGCAACGCTCCGATCTCAGCGTGTGCGCCCCCCCGACCACTACAGTAGGGGCCCGACCACAAGAGACTTCCACAAGAAACACAACCCTGAGACCCCAGGACGTCCATTGATTCATGGTGTGGGAAGGTCACGCTTTCCATAGCGAAACCATCGAAACCCAAGGAAGCCAGGGTACCCTGGAGGCGAGCAGGGTGTTTGGCATGGGTCTCCACTGCAGAGGGACCAAGCGCTGCATGAGCATAACTTTCGGGGTGTCCGCGCGGAGCTCCGAGAGTTAAATTCTACTCTGTTTGAGCCTCTCTTTTTTTGGGGGGGGGAAGCTGGCCATCGCTCGGACGTCCATTCCCTGTTTGTTTTTTTCGGTTTCGTGCGTGGTTTTCTCGCCACATGATCAAGGATGCTCCTCGATGGTCCTCGCCGAGGAAAAAACGCACACGTCCGAGCGATGCCAAGGGAAACCGACACGCACCGCTGACTACCGCTGCTCCCCGGACCTCTCGAGGCGAGCCTACAGCGGTGGCGACGGAAGGCCTCCCAGGAGGAGGCCCCGAAGGGGCGAACGCGAGGCACAGGCGCCAGGCAGGGGCGCCCTCTCCTCCTCCGAGTTCTCTGGGCGCCTCTCGAGCCTCCCGGCGAAGCGGCCAGCATCATCGTCAGCAGCATCCTCCTCATCATAAGCATCATCGTCGTCATCGTCGTCGTCATCATCTCCGGGCAGCCTGGCCCCTCGCCGCCGGCTCCGGGCAGCTGGGGCGGGCCGGGCAAGCCGGCCCACAGAGGGGCCTCCCGGAGGGGGTCCGAGACGATGGGGGTCGGAGGATCTCGCGCCGCGTCGCCGACACGAAGGCGATGCACCGCTGGTGCGTCGGCGATGCGCTGGCGAGGTCGGCGATGCGTCGCCGACGTCGGCGTGGAGCACGTGGGGCACCTCGCGCCCCGTCGCCGATGCGTCGCCGGTGCATCGGCGACGCGGGGCGGGGCGGTCCGCCGACGCCATGCGCTGCGACCCCCATCTGGGAGGCCCAGATCGGGGACAGGCAAGGCTCGGGTTCGGGGAACTCGGGTTGGCCCGACGGTGCCATCATGAGAATGGCGAGACCCGGCTTGAAATCTGACGCGACCTCCTGCTGCAAGCATCCCACGAACACTGGACCGTCAAACTCCAGGACGCGCTCGTCAAAAAGCGGCCGACCCAAACTCTGGCGTACTCCGAGATCCGAGGTCGTGATTTTTTCAATGCGGGGCCCCCGGAAGCCTCGGCCCACTCACCAGGTCTGCATCCTGAATCGTTGTTTGACGGTCCCGAGGCCCAGTAAGGGCCCCTGGAGCCCGAAAACTGCGGAAAACCTCCGTCGTGATCTCTGCAGTGCGTCGGAGCTCTGGGGCACCTGCCCGACCTCACGCCAGCTCCCTGCGCTGCCCCCGAGCCCGGGCGGAGAAGGAGGAGGAGGAGGAGGCGCAGGAGGAGGAGGAGGCGGCGGAGGAGGAGGAGGAGGCGGAGGAGGAGGAGATGGAGGAGGAGGAGGAGGAGGAGGAGGAGGAGGAGGAGGAGGAGGAGCGATTTCTCAATGCGCTGGAGCTCTGGGTGCTCGAGCCTGACGCTCTTCCACGACCACGCTTAAGTCGGGCGTGTCCCCCTACAGGGGGACTTTCGACGAAGAAAACATCGATTAAACAAATGCTCCAAAGTATAGTCCAAAAATACTCCAAACATACCCCCTGACTATTTTTGGATTAATTTGAATATTCCCCCTGTAGTTGAGCAGGGACCGACCGTCCCGGCATTCCTATAGTCCTACCACGAAATGTTCTTAGAACCCAAAAATGTTCTAAGAACAAAAACAAGGTTCTTAGAGCATGAACCTGATGTGTGAAAACAAGACAATCCCCGCCAGAAATGTTCTGAGAACATCTCGTGGAAACCGCAACCAGCTTTTAGCACATTACTCGGTAGCGCTATAGGCGAGCCAGGACGCTCCGCCAATGCCTGATGCAGAGGGACAGGCCCGCCTTTACTCGGGAGCGGCCAAGAGGGGGGTTGTCCAAGAGGGGGGGGTGCAATCATGACCGGCGGCATGTGCGCGGCCCAGCGGGGGGGCCAAGGACGTGATGAAACAAGAAGAGGCGCCCTGAAGTCTGGGGAGATATCATGGCCCCCGCCATGATATCCACACCCCCCCTAGTCAGCACCCCCCTCTTTGCCGCCCCTGGCCTCTACGACCGCGCCCCCGCGCCCCGCCGGAGCCGCGGGCGACGCGGGCCGCCAGCCCGGCGGGGCCTCGCCCGGCTCGGGGGCCATGCCGCGCGGAGGCCCGCGCGCGCTATGGCCCCGCGCGGGCGTCCCTCGCGGGCGCCGGGGCGCGGCCCTTTCGGGGAGCCCCGCCTCGCGGCGGCGCGCCAGCGGGCCGCGGGGGTGTCGAGCCCACGATCGACCTTTCGGACGAACGAACAACACACACCCATACCCATACGGAGGTCGTTGGGAGGAGGACTGGCTATGGGTATGGGTGCGGGTTGTCGGACCCTGGGGAACGCTCCCGTTCGAGCGGGGGCCCCCATCCGACAACACGCACCCGTAGCCCTCTCCGATCCTCCTATGGGTATGGGTGTGTGTTGTTGGTTCGTCACTTTCGTTTTGCTTTATTCTGTTCCCTCCCCAGATCCAAAAAGCAGGCAATCGAGCAATCCTGGCGGCCGTGCCTGGTCGTCCTGTCGCCGGATGAGCACGAAGGGGCATCGGGAGGGCATCAGGACGATCGAAATGAGCACGGAAAGAATGGGTACGATGCCCAACGGCAGGTCCTGTTCCTTTTGAACAGGGCTCGCTGTCCGCGCCGCTGCGGACGCTGTTCACTGAAGACAAAGAGCCGCCTGCCCAGCAGCGGCCGCTCTGCTTTGGGCAACATTTGTTGCTGGGTATTGTGTCCATTTTCTCGGTACCCATTTCGAGCGTCCCAAGGGCATGAGAAACGCTCGGAAAGCAGGACTCGCAACTTTTGAAAGGCAAGGCAAACCTGCGAGCGGGGGGGCAGCAAGAACCCTCAGGGAGGGAAGCAATAGCACTTACAGCCGGTCCGTATCACGAGGACACGCGATAAGGAGATGCAAGGGCCTTGGAGGGCCTTTTCGAAGCCTCTCGATCGGGGTGCTAGGGGGCCACATGCGAACCCTACCCCTACCCGCCACGATTTCTGAGGGGGAGGGTGGGGTTCACTTCGCTTGGGAGCTCCCGAACGAAGTGAACCCCACCCTCCCCCTCAGAAATCGTGGGGGGTAGGGGTAGGTTCGCATGTGGCCCCCTAGGTGCGGCCGACGAGAATGGTCAAGGGTGGGCCGAGGATCGGACGCCGGGCAAGGGCTGCTAAATCCGTGGCTGCTAAAATCGACCTCCGGGAAGCTCGCCATCGCTCGGACGTCCATTTCCCGTGCATTGTTCGGTTTCGTGCGTGTTTTTTTCGCTCGATGGTCCAGGATGCTCCTCAAGGGTCCTCGCCGAGAATAAAAATGCACACGTCCGAGCGATGCCAGGGGAAGTTGTCTTCGTCCTTCCGGGAAGAAGCCCGTTGACTGTTTCGCGTGCCGCGCCTCATTCTGGGGAATTGTTTTTTTCCTTCCGGGAGGGCCGTGTTAGCAGCCACGGTCTTAGCAGCCCTCGCCCAGCTTTCGAGAGGAGGTACAGGATGCAAAGGGCACCCTTGGGAAGGTTGCCCATCCCTACTATGTGCGGGGCGGCTGCAGGGGGTCGAGCCTGACACAGTAGAGACGCTGTCTCAAGGAGCCCTAGGTAAGGACGGCGGCTCCCCTTTCTCCATCGATGAAAACTCCGATTTCGCATGCCAAGACCTGAGGGCAGCCTGAGATTAGGTCGGGCGTGTTCCCCTACAGGGGGATGTTCGACGAAAAAATGAAAATACACCAAACATGCACCAAAAAGGTAAACAAATACGCAAAAAATAATCCCCAGACTATTTTCGGACTATTCTTTGTTTTTTCATAGAGAATCCCCCTGTAGGGGGACAGGCCCGACTTAAGTCTAAGACAACCTGCAACACAATCCACGAACACTGAACGACATTTTTCGGCGACCCTGAGAGCCTGGAAAGCCGTCGGGAGATTGTCTAGGGCGTCTTAGGCCGTCGTAGGACGTTTCGGAGCCTGGCTGGGAAGTTCAGGGGAGGCCATCTTGGGCGATCTGGGAACGGTCTTCGAAAAAAATAAAAAGGAATTTGAATAATTCCCTTTTCTCTCAAAGGAGTCTGCAAAGAGGCTTGTGGAAGCTTTCCTTGGGGGGCCTCCAAACATTATTGTGATAAAACTGAACCGTCCTGGAGCCCCTTCCGGACCTCTTGGGGCAGTCTGTGGCCTTCTTCAGAGACTTCTGGAGAACCCCTGGGTATTCCCTGGGCGCTCTGGAGGGCTCCAAAAGGGCCTCCAAGAGGCGCCAAGAGGCCACCGAAACCAACAAAATGGTAAACAGCTGATTGTTTACCATTTTCGCTTTCCACTGGCCCTCGTGGAGACCTCCCGGGGCCCTGTTGAAACCATCTCGGAGAGCCTCTGGGTGCTCCTGCCTCTAAGAGGGCTCCAAGAGGGCACCCAAATCAACAAACTGGTAAACAGCTGGTTGTTTACCATTTTTCCCCTTCCAATGGCCCTCGTGGAGACCTCCCGAGGCCCTCTTGAAGCCATCTCGGAGAGCCCCTGGGTGCTCCCCGGGGGTCCCGGGGAGCTCCAACTCCAAATAGGCTCCAGGAGGACACCTGGTGACAAAACTGAACCGTCCTGGAGCCCCTTCCGACCTCTTGGGGCGGTCTGAGGCCGTCTTCGGAGACCTCTGGGCGGTCTGGAGCATCTCTCGGGTCGCCTTGGAGGCTCTTGGGCGTCTCTTCGGCAGTTTTGGGGCGGTCTTGGGGGGCTCGTGGGAGTCGCTGGGGGGTCTCTTTGTTCATCTCGAGGCGGTATGGGGGCATATTTCGGCCGCCTTGGGGCGTGGGAAGCTTGAGCACGCGAGAAGACGCAACCTTATTGAAAAAACAAGATAGAAACAACGATTATGCCGTCTTCGAGCCCTCGCCAGAGGCAGCTCGGAGCAAGGGGTTTGGGCTGGGTCGAGGGGGTTCCGGGTTCTGGCCGGTTTATCCAATTCGTGTGTTACACGACGAGGTGGATACTGCGGCCATCAAGGGTAGCACAGAGTGAACGACGGCGCAAAAAGAGATCATACCAGATTCATGCGAACACCATGGGTGCACCTGATTCGTCTCCGTCTGCGGTGGCGATCTGCACCAACTTCTTGAACATGATACCACATACCAATGGCATGTACCGTGGCGCGGCACGCGTACATCGACACTGTGTTCGGCAAACTTACATGCGATACGATAGCTGCTGGGTGCGATTGGACATGGTCGGCTAATGTTATTGTACTTGACGCGACTTCGACTGACTAGATCGAACCCGAATAATAAAACCATCCGCTTGCACTCCGGTGTGTCCACGAAAGAGCAGTACGTACACGCGCGAATGCCTGGACATTATATGTGAGTGCAAACGTACCTGATATACGTTATTGGTTCGTTCACGCACCGTGAGTACGTGCATACCGAAGCATATCATATGTCCGACGATCATGTGTGGGTGTCCATACGTGTGCGTCTGCATTGGGACATGTACATGTGCATCGATTACGACTGATTGCGCATCGCTGCGCACATGCGTATGTAGCTCTGGTCTTTGAACACACGTGCATACACATTTTCGGATGTGTTACTGGATATCCACACGTACGTGTCGCAAGCTCCGGTGGCAACTCATGGGAACCTCCCATACCATCTTGTTGGCTCTTGCGAATCGACGCTGATCGACGCTAGTCGACACTAATCGATGCCAATTGACGCTGAATCTATGCTAACTAGAACCGCGCGCGCGCTCCGCGCGCGCTTAGGTTCTAGCAAGCCCCCGGCCGTGACAAGTGCACAGATCCTCTGAAATAGTTACCCACAAATGGCATGAATATGAGCCACACCAAAGCGTCAAAAAACGAGGGCCGAACAGAGATCGATCACATACGAATGGTACATCCATACAAGGCAATGCGAACCAATGCCAAGCAGTGAGAATAATGTTCAGAATGTAGTGCCCACACTGGCACTGCAATGCAACGCAGTGCCTTGGAAACCAGATGCGAGCGCTATGCAGCGAGAAGCAAAGCACATGAAAGGCAAGGAAATGCGATGCAAGATAACAAATGTTAAGCAGAAAAATGCTCGCCAACGCTATGTTGTTCGCGGAACCGGGCTTGTAAATTCGTCGGAAAACAATCGCATGACAAACAATGCAATCCAATGCACACAAACGCAAGAGGCCGTACGAACCCGAGGGTCCCGAACCTCAGGGATCCCAGGGAGAAGGTGTACAAGCTAAGTGGTGGATGCCCTGATTCCGCCCTTAGTAAACATCCATATGACGCTAACGCACCAGCTCGTCCTTCTCCTCGCCCCCCTCCTCCGCCTCCCCTTCCTCAACCTCCTCCTCCTCCTCCTCCTCCTCATCCCTCTCGCAATCTATCCTCTGGCCGGTCGGTGGGCCCGACCGGCGACCGCTTAGATTGCCACACAAGCTTCTTACATGGAACAAGGAATACCGAATTTCCCCCCCCCAGGCTGCCAGGGAAGACCTGTCACAAGTAGCCCCCCGTCCATCGGCCACGCGGCCGGGACAAGCTGTATGTTTTCCAGGTTTGCCAAGAGAGGAAGGGTGAGAAGCAGCATAGAGGGACTGCGACAGAGACCGAACGTCACAATTTCCCCAGCGCTTGTTTTTTGCAAACGCCCAGGAAGGCTCCATGAAGGCGCGCAGGGCAGCCACGAGGAGGACCCAGGGCAGCCTAATGGGGGGATGCCCGAGGAGCACTTGAAGAGATTGGCAAAACCATGCCGAGGGTCTCTTTGGATGTTTTTTTGGGGGCGCTCCTGGAAGGCGTTCGGAGACGTTGTTTGGTCTCTCGGAAGGTATCTCGGAGGCTTCTTGGGGGAGGAGGGGGAGGAGGAGGAGGGGGAAGAGGAGGAGGAGGAGGGGGAGGAGGAGTGGGAGGGGGAGGAGGAGGAGGAGGAGGGGGAGGAGGGGGAGGAGGAGGGGGAGGAGGAGGGGGAGGAGGAGGAAAAGTGGAGGCCTCTTGATGCTTCTGGGGGGGGGGGCCCTCGGGCGCTCCGGGGGCCTCTTGAAGCCTGTTGTGGCCCTGCTGGCGGTCTCGGGGGCCGTCTTCGGGGGGCGGGCTCGCTCTGTGAGCTCGGGTTCCGCCTCTCGTGCCCCATCTTGGGGCTCTCCTGGAACGCCCTTGGGCTGCATCAGGGGCGTTCTGGGGCGTCATGAGGCCCTGTCGGGGA